TTGGAATCTGCAGTTACCTCAGGCAAGGTTTAAAATTGAGTTATTTAGCTACGGTTGGAATTCCGTTAGGGTTTTTTTTGTATTTAAACTGTGAATTGTGTGTGTGGAAACCTGTTTTCTATTTTCTTCAGCAAAGTTGATTTTTGTTTCAATCCTGGAATTGACTGGTGGCCTTCTAGCACCCACCTCAGCTTGGCTGAACTACTGACTCCTAAAGTTTTGGTTTCCCTTTGATGTTTGACCAGACCCAGGGTGGGGGTGAGGAGGCCCCCTTCAATCCTCTCCTGGCTCCCCAGAGGGCTGGTGGGAAAGGGAGAAACTGATTTATAGTGGGTGGTGGTGGCAGAAGGAGGAGACCTACTTTTCCAGTTGCTGTTCACCCACAGGCAGGTTACCTCAGAACTGAAAGCCCTCAGAGGAGGGCTGGTTGGACCCTGAAGATGCCTTTTATCCCTTATTACAGAAGTGACCCCCGCTGCAGTGATTTAGGCTTACCTCCTGAGTTGCCACTCACTGGCTTGCGTTGTATCCTCATACAGTTTACTAACTGCATAATTGTATACATGTCTACCCAGGAGGAGGCTTTCAATGCATTTTTCCCCAGGAGGAATGCTATACAGCTGAAAATTACTTTTAAAAACCTGCATTCAAATCAGTGGTCTGCTGCTTTAGGGATTTTTAGTATTTGGGCAAGAAGCAGGGCTTAGAAGGATGCTATTACATCAGTACTCCAGAAATTGAACTACACCCAGTGATGATAATTCTCTTGTTTTTGCTGACTTCTTCCTGTTGTCATGCATGTTTCACAAGTTACAACAACCAGTTATAGTGTTAAATAAAAACACAGGTTGATACACAGAAATTCTCAAATGAAATCCTTCCTCTGCTACAGCCTTTGTTTGTTTCATTGGTGCCCACCCATACTTAATGTATGTATACTTAATTAATGTATACTTAAACAAGACAAATGCTTGCTTGAAAGACTGCAGCTCAAATACTCCCAAGGAACATGGTAGGAGTGACAGAGTCAGCCAAGCCTACCATTCTCGTTATTTATAAACAGGATTCCAAAGGAGGATCAATGGTTTTTCAGTTCTTTACTTGTGATAGTAAGTTCCTGAAAGATCAGCATTTGTCAAGACTGAGAGCACCATAATTTTGTATTTTCAGTGGTCCACTGAATTTTGAAAAGGAGCCCCAAAATATGACTAGAGATATGAGAAGCCAAGATTAGAGAAATAAACCTACAATCAGTGGAAACAGTAAATTCTAGACTCTCCACAACTGCCATGTTCCTAGCACTATGGAGCACACTTTCCTGTGTGTGTATATTACATTGACAGGCCACAACTATTCCCATGAGTGAGAGCACAAGCTTTCCCCAGAGTGAGTGGCTGTCTGTACCATGGCTTTTTTCAGCACATGTGTCTTATTACAACCCGCACTTTGTGCACTGGCACTGGTTTTTTTCATGAGTGGGTTTTCTCATATCGAACAAGATCTGACTTATAACTGAAGCTTTTCCCACAGACTGAGCACTTGTATGGTTTCTCTCCTGTGTGGGTCTGCTGATGCTGTACCAGTTGCGAATTATACCAAAAATTCTTGCAGCAGAGCATTTGTAGGTTTTCCCCCCTGTGTAGGTCCTCTTGTGTTCAATAAGGTGAGAACTGTGCATGAAGCTCTTCCCACAGCTGGAACACTGGAACAGTGGTTAGGGTCATTAATGGTAAGGTAGGAACACTGCCTGAAGCTCTTTGCAAGGAACATCTGTATGGTTTCTCCCCCATGTGGGTTTTTTCATGTTTAATAAGGAAAGAACTGTGACCGAATGATTTGACACAATAGGAGCTTCTCCTCAGTATGAGTTTGTTTATGTACAATCAGGTTTGAATTGTGACTAAAGTTCTTCCCACGTTCAGAGTACTTGTAGGGTTTCTCCCCAGTATGAATTTTTTTCATGTACAATCAGGCGTGAATTGCAGCTATAGTTCTTCTCACACACAGAGCACTTGTAGGGTTTGTCCCCTGTGTGAATCCTCTCATGTATGATAAGATGTGACTGGGCATTGAAGGTTTTCCCATGGTAAGAGCACTTGCATGGCTTCTTTATGATATGTGTTCGTTGACATCACTGAAGGTAATCTGCACATGGAAAAGATTTTCTCATTCTGGTTTTCACGTGGTTTCTTTGCTGTCTTTTTTGCTTTCTGTAGACTCATAAAGCTTTGGTCTTCAGTGTGACCTTGGAAAATAGACCCTCTAGCTTGTTTTTGGAAGGCCTTTCGCAAAGGTTCCATTTGTTGAGGGGGTTTGAGTTTCTTATTTTTTCCTCCATATTCATTTGCCTGTTGCCAATCTAGAGGGGGGAAAATACAAGAATTGTGGAACGAGCAAGTGAAGAGAGAGCTTTTTGTCAAACAGATTGTGCCCCACTTGATTCAAAATTGCCCATGGGAATTTTTCATGGGAAACCACATTATTCTGAGTCAGACTCTTGGACAGTCTAAGTGTCATTTGGGCCAGTTTTTCTTATGAGTTATTTGGTATATAGTATCATCTATATCTGTGTCCAGAACTGTTGGACATTTTGATGCCTCCCTGCTGGTTAATATTTTAATACTTAAAATTTATGCAGAACCTTCAGAGAATGGTGTTATTATTTCTCAACTACAGGTCTTTTAGAAGACAGTTGGTTTTTCCTGTTACTTGCTTGGAAATTGATATTTGATCTATTGGTTTGATAACTGTTGTTCTTTTGGAGTTATTGTATTGTTCTAGTTGTAAACACTACAGAGTTTTGGACTGAAGTAGGTTATGCAGTTTGTAAATAAACAAATTCCTACAAGGCTGTCAGCCCTTCAAGATAGGCAAGAACAAAAAACAGGCACAACAGGGATTCCAGGACTGTTCTTTATTGTTGTACAGGAGAATAACAGAATCTTGAAAGCGTGTCCAACTTCCTCTCTACTCCATCTTATACCAAACAAAATCAAGGCAGGGTTATTTTGAGTTTCTTCCTTATGCTTTTCTCTTTCTCAGAACTGAGTAATCTCTTCTGAAAGTCCCCCCTTAATGGTTTGTTCTTTCCTTCTCCTTTCCCAAGGCCAGGTTTACCTTCTTTCACAAAGGCCAAGCCAATGACCAGGGATTATGGAAGGGGACATTCTTGGATTACGAGCATAGATGTTTAAGACTTGAGTCTCTGTATGCTCAAAATCCAAGAATGTATCCTTCTACAATCCCTGACCATGCAAACAATGCAAACTCCACTAATTACGTGTGGTGCTGCAATACAACTATGAAAGGGTAGAGCTTGCTTCATGATACCATGACACTTATCATCATGGTTGGGAAGGGACATCTATGATTTATAAGTATCTGGTTACAAATATGCTGGGAGCCTTTAACACCGATTCTGTGGGCCCTGCACAGCTGCTGATTGATTTACAGAAACAATTTAAGTTGCTAGCGTTGATCTGTAAAGCCCTTTCTGGCTTGGCACCTGGGTATCTGTAGGATCATTTGCTCCAACCACAATCAGCCCAGACTATTAGATCTTCCAGACCCACACTTCCAAGGGGTCAGAGTGGCTGAAGTTAAAAGGTGCTGCTTCACTGGTGGTGCCAATGCTTTGCAATAGCCTCCCAACAGAAATCACACTAGCCCCCTCCTTGCTGGCCCTTGGGAAAATGTTAAAACAGTTATTTTGGAGGGCATTCTCCTAAGCTTAAGCACCACATCATCTCTTGTTTCTTTATTTTTGTTTTTCACTTACTGTTTCTGTAGTTCTTTTACTTGGGGAGAGGTTATATGTTACTTGTCTGTTTAATACCATGGATGCTTTAATTTTTGTTATATACTAGAGTATATAAATCACTGGGAATCATTAGATTGGGGTGGGCTGTTAGTTTAATAAATAAATGGATATGTCATCTAGGTTTAATTAAATTGCTTCTAAATAAGTGTGCTTAGACTGACTCTAAAGAGATATTAAGATAGCTTAGTGTTTATTTAGTCCAGAACTCAAGGTGGGATTCTTAGCTTCTTATTTCAACCCACCAACATTCATGAAAGGGCTAAAAAAGATGAGATGGTGGTTGTGGCACCATCATCAAAGACTCACCTCTTTGTACAAACATGTGGCATTGGTGTGCATACAAAAGGGTCTGTAGGATAGATTAGGGAATTAAGGAAGATAATGGAAGTAGGCAATAGAGAAAAAAAAAACTTGTTGTGAAGAAGGTCCCATGAAATCACCAGGAGATAAGCTCCACTTGAAGAATTTTGCTATTTAGCTTTTGAAGGAAACCACAATCGCTCTGTGCATGAAAACAAATTCAGTCAAGTAAACTGATGACTGCAAGTGGGGAGGAGAAACTCACGCTTTTCACACTTCCATCCTGTGACATCTCTAATAATATATAAAGGAGGAAGGGAGTTAATAGTTAGGTCATGGGGAAAACTGGAAGCTCAGAATTTGAACCTGAATGCATTCAACCATCAGGGGTAGATTGTTTAATTTTATTTTAACCTGTACTGAACAGAGCCATTACGGTTTATAAACCTTGGCTTACGGGGTAATGCAATATGTAAATTCAGTTCTTGCCGTTTTTCATGCGGGAAATATAGCAGAGATGCAAAGAACGCAACCTACTGGTATCCGTTTTCCAGCTCCTGAATTTTCAGGCTATTTTATTTTGTTTTTTTCATGGGGAGGAATTTTTTTCGTGGGGGAGAATTGTTTTTGTTTTTTCGTGGGGTAGAAGCAGCAAAATCGCTGCTTTAAGCTTGCATGCACCCACCAGGTCCAAACTGGTTCCGTTTCCCTTTTTTTCTCCCTCGCTTTCTCTTCCCGCGCCAGAAGGTGCCACTTTGGAAGTGGCAAGCTCTCCTCTAAGGGTTAAAAAGACTGAATGCACAGTCCTAGAAAGGCATGGGGGGGGGCACCGAAAAGCCATTTCCGGCTGCATCCTCCTCCCCCCTCCACCCCGGCTTCGCTTTTCTATGGAAGCTGAGCAGTTCTGGAGGGTGGCATCCAGAGCTACAGCTATCCCCGTAGCTGGTAAGTTACGGGGACCCTGGGCTTGGCTGGAGAAGGGGAGGCAGAAGGGATCTTGTAATGGAAAAGTCCCGCCAGTCAGGGAAGGGTGAGAAAGAAAAGACAGGCAGCTAGGGGAGAGAATCCCCGCCCCCCCATCTCCACGCTTTTTGCAATGAACACATCCCAGGCTCCTCCTCCTTTGTGCCAAAGCTACTGTAGTTGTCTGAAGTCCGTCTGACAAGGGATCTTCCATGCCGCCAACGTACAAGGTGCAGGCTGGGTTCTGTACGTTTAAAATGAAGGATGAATTTGCGTTTCCCAGAGTCAGCCCAAAAATTTGCTTTCAAGACTGCAACTGAGCTTTTAAACCTTTTAGATACAGAAGGAGTCGGGTCTGCCCAAACTTTATTCAGTAGTCTAACTGTCTGAAGGGGGAAGAGAGGCTTGCTCTTGGTTTCTGTCATAAAGGCATCTAGCTTAGTTCAAAAGGCCAAACAGGGTTGGCTCTCATTAGTATGGGATTGGATGGGAGACCACTAGGAAATTTCAGAACTGTAGGGTAGACTAGGAAGTCCGAACACATCCTGGAAGAAGGCAAGGGCAAAACTCTTGCATGTTGTTGCCAAGATAACTGCATGTGTGTTTATTCAATGTATACCCCACTTTTTGGGTATGTATGCATTCAAGGTACATAGAAGTGTCTGTTAGGTCACCCAGAGTCAAACTCAACTGGTTTTTAATTAAGTAGGTATCATCAAGTCCATCTTAATTCCTTAGGTCTGCATGGATAAATGCTTGCTATATTGATCCGTCTTCATTAATTAACTTACTGCTTTTCTCAGATTTCTTTGAGTCTTTCTATACACCTTATCTGCTAATTCTTATGACTTCTTTCAGTCTCGCCAAACATACTATTTCTTTAGTGGGTCATCTCCTCATTCCACATGCCCAATTCACTTTCTTTTTGTGTTTCCAAAAATTACAGGAACATGGAAGACCCTGCAGTAGACAAATTCCAAAAGGAAGGCCTTGCATCACAAGAAGGACATAAAGCTTCAGCTGGAAAGACCTACAACAGTATGCCCTTCCAGAATATGGCTGATGAACGTAAGCATTCTGAATGGGAGAGAAAAAGATGTGCTAGTAAAAGCAGGAGAAAAAAGGGATAGAAATGTCTTATGCCAGAGTGGCAGGGGAAAAAATCACTACAGTTTCAGAAGATAGTAAGAATATGCTGGATCAGATCCCTGGCTCATCTAGTCTGGCAGTCTGTTCTCACACTTACCAACCAATCACACAAGGAAGCCCACTGGTCTCCCATCAGATGGCCTTCAGACGCAGTCACACTCTCATCATGACTAATAGTTATTGATCCCCATGGCTTCCATGAAACGGTTCAACCCTTTTTTGAAGCCAGCCAAGCTGGTGACCAGCACCACGCTCATGGTACCGAATTTCAAAATTGAATTATGCATCATATAAAAAAATATTTCCTTTTGTCTGTCCTGATTTTTTCAAGGTTCAATTTCATTGGGTAACCTCTGGTTCTAGTATTTTGGGAAGGGGAAAATTGCTTCTCCTTGTCCACTTTATCCATACCATGCATAATTTTGTATGCTCAATCATATCATCTTTAATTTGTCTCCTTTTTAGGCTAAAAAGCCCCAAATGTCACAACCTTTCCTCATAAGGAAGCTGCTCCAGCCCCTTGATAATCTCAGTTGCCCTCTTCTTAACCTTCACTATACTCACTATATACAATTGCTATACATACTCGTTCCGCTATATCCTTTTTGAGGTGCAGTGACCAGACACAATATTCCAAATGTGGTTGCACCACTGATTTATATAAGGTTTTTATGATACTGACATCTCTATTTTCAATACTGTTTCTTATTATCCCTAACATGCTGTTGGCCTTTTTTACAGTGGATACACACTGTGTTGACACCTTCATTGAACTGTGCGCGCTCTCTCTCTCTCTCTCTCTCTCTCTCTCTCTCTCTCTCTCTCAGCAAATGCTAACTCGTGGCTAAGAGATGTCTTAAATAGTATCTTTTTTGTTCGGCATTTAGTATTAATCAATTGGACAGGATGTTGTCCCTTTAATTTTTTTTTCAGATAGGGATAGAGTTTGTTGTCTAGCTTAAATAACTGATTGTGCTCATTCCTCTACTGGACGTTGACTTACATCAGATTTTTCTCTTCATTTCAGATGGGGAAGTGTTGATCAGAGGAAATGATGGGGGGGCACAACCAGTGCTGGAGGAAAGTTATATGTGCCAAGATGTGGAAGACCATCTTGGGAATTCAGGGGGAATGAAGGAGAAAGGAAACCTAATCAGTGAAAGGAATGAATCTTTTGCTAATTTGGACATTGGTTTCCATGAAATTTCGGTCCATCAAAACATTCCAAGAGAAGGAAAAAGGCATGAGGCTTCTACATATGTAGAAAGTTGGGATGAGACATCAGATATGAAAATGTGTTGGAAAGTTCACACAGGAGAGAAACCATTTAAATGTGTTGAGTGTGGGAAGAGTTTTAGTAGGAGCTCAGAACTTATTAGGCATAAAAGAGTTCACACTGGAGAGAAACCATATGAGTGTCCAGAGTGTGGGAAGAGCTTCAGTCAAAGTAGAAACCTTACTTCCCACCAAAGGAGCCACACAGGAGAGAAACCTTACAAATGCTTGGAGTGTGGAAAGTGTTTCAGTAACAGTGGCATTCTTACTTCCCATCAGAGAAGCCACACTGGAGAGAAACCCTATAAATGCTTAGAGTGTGGGAAGTGCTTCAGTCAAAGCGGCATTCTTACTGCGCACCAAGCAATGCACACTGGGCAAAAACCATTTCCATGCCTGGAATGTGGTAAGAGGTTTCGCCAGCTCATACACCTTACCTCTCATGAGAGAATTCACACAGGAGAAAAACCATTTCAGTGCCTGGAGTGTGGGAAGAGTTTCCGTCAGCATATACATCTTACTTCTCACAAAAGAACCCACACAGGAGAGAAACCATTTCAGTGCCAAGAGTGTGGGAAGAGCTTCAGCCAGAGTTCACACCTGATTCGGCATGAAAGAACCCACACGGGAGAGAAACCATTTAAATGCCTCCTGTGTGAAAAGAGCTTTGGTCATAGCTCTGAACTTGTTCGGCACGAAAGAACCCACACAGGGGAGAAGCCATTTAAATGTCCGGAGTGTGAGAAGAGCTTCAGTCGCAGCTCTGAACTTATTCGACATAAAAGAATCCACACAGGGGAGAAGCCCTATAAATGCTTGGAGTGCAACAAGAGCTTCATCGATAGCACAAACCTTATTAGGCATCAGATAAGCCACACAGGGGAGAAACCATACAAGTGCCAGGAATGTGGGAAATGCTTCAGTCAGAGCAGAAGCCTTACTGCACATCAGCGGATTCACACAGGTGAGAAGCCCTTTAAATGCCAGGAGTGTGGGAAATGCTTTAGTCAGAGTGGAATCCTTACGGCGCATCAAGGGATGCATACAGGACAGAAACCCTTCAAATGCCTGGAGTGCGGAAAGAGGTTTCGTCAGCACATCCACCTGACATCCCACCGAAGAATCCATACAGGTGAGAAGCCATTTAAATGCCTGGAGTGCGGAAGGAGCTTTCGTCAGCACATACACCTTACCTCTCACAAAAGGATCCACACTGGGGAGAAACCTTTCAAATGTCAGGAGTGTGGCAAGAGTTTTAGTCACAACTCCATTCTTATTTCTCACGTGAGAACCCACACCGGCGACAAGCCCTTTAAATGTTTGGAGTGTGGAAAAAGCTTTACTTGGAGCACCCTCCTGATCAGGCATGAACGAACTCACACAGGGGAGAAACCTTTTAAATGCCAAGAGTGTGGCAAGGGCTTTAGTGAGAGCTCACTTCTTAATAAGCACCAGAGGCGTCATGCTGGGGAAAAACCATTCAAATGTTTGGAGTGTGGAAAGAACTTTTTTTCCAGTACGCTCCTTATTCGACATCAGAGGATTCACACAGGAGAGAAACCGCTGAATGTTTGGAATGTGGAAAATGCTTCAATTGAACCTCGGAAATTGTTTGAGATAAAAGAATTTGAAGAGGAGAAAATTCTTAGTCGTGATCAGAATGCGGCAAAAGTTGTCATGCCATAAGTCTAGCAATTATTTACCAAAATTTAACAGAGCAAGGAACCATAACTATTCTTTTAATGGAAAAAAGTGTTTCTGTCTTAGCACTGTATCATTTCTCATCAGGAAATTCACAAGAGGCAATATGGAGCAGAAGTACACAAAGTAGGGCAGGATAGGAATATATTTCTAGGAAACTTTTGCCTAAACCATCATAAATCTGTCATCTTGTCTAGGTGCTCTTGACTTCCTTGAAGAGTTAGAGTAAATTGAAGAGACTTACTAATTTAATTCTTATGATTAAAGTATATTTCTTAATCACTTCAACTAAGACTCTCTAGGTATTCACAAAGTGAACATATGTGATACAACACTTTTCTGCACTGCTTCTCCTTATACAGAAGTCACTCCTTTGGCATTTCTGTTCTTTTTCATGTTTTTTAAATTAATTTGGAAAAGTATTGGGCTAGGGCCTGATTGCTATTCATGTCCTAAAGTTTAGTACAGTGGAAAAGACTTATTCATCTGTTGGAGCAAAAACGAGAAGAGCATTGTTGAAAGGACCACTACATTTAATGGTCCTGAACTTTTTCTACATAAGAGATGACTTATATTGCATGTTTAAATGTTGTGTATGCTGCTCATAAGCTAAGTCCCAGACAGGTAAGGCTCAAACTTTTTTTTTTTTTTGCACCAATGGAGAAATCATGAATGACAAAGAATGCAAAGAAGGGAAACTATTGTCATGGGTGCACCAGTGAGAAACTTAGATACAGCCATTCTGATCTCTTTCCAAGAAGAAGAGGAAAGGTGTGGCTCCATCCATCTGATGTTAGGTGCCATTTTGTGACTGAATTACATAACAACACCAGGCATCCTTAACATTGCTCATGTTACATTAACATCCAGAACTCTTTGAACCAATGTTGGGAAATGTGGCCCTGTCGACTGTTATGCTTTTCATTGTGGCCAGATAGGAAATTGCAGCTCAAAAGGGGCATTTTGGAGGGACAGCCGTGCCTCTTCTGTCCTTCAGTTTTCCTCAGTGTGATTTGCCTTAGCAAGGAGGCAGACACTTATTGGAACATCGGCTTCCTGATTGGCTTCCTGCGCACCCAGGCTTTTTCCCATTGGCTGCCCCAGTGTCATTCTGAACCAAAACTGAAAGGGCCTGGAATTGGCAGGTGCCTCCCTTAAACTCCTGCCATTTCCTTCAAATCTAATCCCTACAAGGGAGAACCTTATCAAACCTTGAACACGAATATCTATTGTCAGCTTCTCTGTGTTTTATCTATTGCAAAGGAACAATTTGTTAAGATGTGAGCGTGGATGGGATATTTTACCCCAAGAGGAGGGGCATCCTTAAAATGGGCTTAATCAGTAATTTAAATTTGCTATTTAAGTAGCTACACATCCATTAGAAAAAAATATTTTCCTTATGCAAGTATATTTTGGGGTGGAATGCTGTCTTAGTGATTTTTTTCATCTGCCAAATGGGTGAAGATTCCAGATGTCTACCCAATTTTTTCAAGGACATCCTCAAAGAGGGTAAAACATGTCAAAATGGTGGCTGCAATTTAAGCCCCACCCCTTTTAAACATACATTGTGCATGTGATACATATAAAAAGGGTGGGGCTTTCTTTGCACCACTGTGGCCACCATCTTGGCTTTTTTTACCTCTCCTGTGGGCATCCCTGCCCAGGAGATACATTGCTCACACTATTTAACTGGTTTTCTGTTAGCTGGCTAAAACTTTTCTGCTTCAACAAGCAATTATTTCCCCAGGCAGGATTCTTTGTTGTTGTTGTTGTTCTTTTTTGTGTGTTTGTTTTTAATGTTAATCCTTCATTTCAGAATATTTTTATCTGTTTCTGTTTTTATTGTTCAATGGGATTTTGTTAATAAACCACCCTGTGTGATATATATGCCTTGGAAAGTCAGAGTACCCTTTTTTAATAAATAAATAAAACTTTAAACTACATGGGAATTCACAAGGGAGATGAAGTTTTAAACAACTGGTCTCTGGATTTGTGCAAACTCCACTTCTGACCCTAAAAATCGCTCAAATAAGAGGTGGGGGAAGGTTTACTTACTTTTTAATTATATTTTCCTCTCACTTTTGGATTAATATTTTCTCTCAAAGGGGCCCATACCAATTCACTGAGAGATTGGGGGAAACTTTGTAAAAATGATAAGCAAAAAGCAGAGGATAGAGCAGCAGAAGAGAATCTCTGTCTTGCTTACAACTCCCAGCAGCCCCCAGCGTAGCTAATAATGAAGGATGCAGGGAAGTGTAATTAAT